TAWAAAWMWCWMTATATTTCACCATTGTACCTTGAAAGCAATTTGACCAGCTATTTCGGCAATTTCTTGCTCTGCTTCTTTGGTTTTGGACAAATCGCCTGCAAAGGAATACAGCAGATAGCATCAATATCAATCATTCCATAACAACTTTTTATTATCCTATTATTATAGTGCTTCCTTGTACTTACTGCCTTTTTCCAGCAAAGAATTACCATTAGAACTTCCACAGACACTACATTTCCAATCCATGGACCTTTCAAGAAAAAAAAAACACAGAAAATTTAATTACCATATCAAAAACTAATAATCATGTCTAAAATAATTTCTAATACCCTCAATAATAATAAAATTGTTTAGATAATTATTATTATAGTAGTGAAGTTGTCCTTCAGTAGCATCGTGTTGCGCAGAATGAAAGTGGAATCTGGGCCATACGCTACTGTTAGCATAGTAATAGTACGCAACTGTAACAGTAGATTCCACTTTCATTCTGCAATTATCATTATGATAAACATTAATTATTATTATGATAAACATTAATAATTATTTAATAATCAATAGGATATTATTGATGACATACTTTCTTGCAAGTGTACTTCTTTCTTTGGGTGTGTAGTCTAATGCACCGATTGCACCAGCACCTTTGCTCGGCATAAAACCAATGATTGCCATCAACACTGTCCTGACTAAGGATAGAGAATTCAAATTCAAAAGAATTGATTGATGAATACTTCAATAGATGGAGAGGTTGGCGGAGGGTTAGATGGACGGATGGATGAATGCATTGACAGTAATGAAAAATGAATTTATGAACAAAGGGATGAATGAGTAGAAAGATGAAATGCATAAAAGAAATGATGCAAAAATGAATAAAAAAAGAAGAGATGAATGAACAAATAAATCCTATGAATCATCCTCGGGAATCCAGGGGTAATCTTCTGTCGTTTGTTCCTCACTCCCAGAAACAGACTTCGTGCCAAGGATATTTTTTCTGGGAGTGAGGAATGAACGACAGAAGATTACCCCTGGGTTCCCATAGATGCCTATGAATTAGCTGATGAAAGAACGATAGAAAAATTTTAATCAAATAAAAACATGAATGAATTGATAAAGAAATGAAAAGTAGAACTTACTGCTCCAAGATGGCTGCCATGTTTCTGGATGGTGTGCTGACATGCTAAGGCAAATCTTCTTACCAATTTCAAACCGTCCATTAGGCTAAGAAGTGACAATAACATTTATAATTATTGAAAAAACCCATGATAATCCATGCTACATTCAAATWATAATTACCGTCAATAACATTATACTTGGTGGTTTCATGGGATATTCTGGAGGAAGGATGATGCGGCCATGATAACGACCACCTTCAAATTCAGTATCTGGAGGTCCACGAACAGTAAAATGCCACTCAAACAGATTATCCTAAATGAAAATAAACAATGAAACAACATAGGGCAATATTATAAGCACAGGTATCCCGAAAYAAATGCTCAAAGCAGAAGMAYTCTCAACAAATATCAAGGATGYATTCAATAAAARATAAAGTGTAAAGTATTTTTACAAAAATTGGCGTTTTAAATGTTTTATTTTCGTGTTCAGGACARCCATATCTTCACCAAACAAACCCAGCTTTGTTACCAGATTTGATATTAGAAATGTACGTAGATTTGTACATTCTTTGTATTCATACACAGTTAAAATTTCCATTTAAAATATTATGTATATTATATATTTTTAAATATATATAATACCTCAAGTGGTTGTGCATAGTAAAGTTCAGTTGGTTGGTGAAGTTCCTTCGCCTCTCTCATCAATCTCTTCACAGCTGAAACAAGATAACGGAACGAATTCTCCATAAAAATAAAGGTATTTTTAATCAATGCTGGTTAAAAACTTTACCTGGACTTTTTAGATTATACTTTTGCTCCATTTTTGCTGTTTTTAACGTTCCAAGCAGAAATTATCAAGGATTTTTTTGCTGTTTGGGCATCTCGTCGACGTGTCGAATTTGCATCATGCCAGCCAAAACACTAGTGCCTAGTCTCTCACTAACTAGGAACGCCTGTCAATTTATGCATAATGCCGCCATCTTGAATAACGACACAGGAACTCCACATAAAATAAGAAATTGCAAATGAAACGAAAAGACAATTAATAAAAAAGAACTATTGAAAAGTATAAGAATGATTGTTAGAAAAAGTATAAAAAAACGTATAGATCTAGACTGGACGCCTTAACTGAAGCTACTTCCGGGTTGGTGTATGGCCACTGGACCACGCTCATTTACATGATAATAGACCACTTGGTACTTTCACCGATAAGGGTACCCAAATTTGACATTGACGCCCAATATCGTTAGGTTAATTAGGAAACGAACACGGAATATGCGGTTGACAGTCAGAATAATGCTGAGAGCGTCTCAATGGGGTTACTAACCGTGAGCCGTGAAACGTCTGAAAAATTAGCTGTTAGTCGTGAAAATGCGAAAAAATTAGCCATGAGGCGTGAATATTTTTTTATAGCGTGAGCCGTGATTCAGTTTTGTTTCTCAGAAGGACAGTCAACTCCGATGCAGGCGCGCGCTTGTAATTTTTTTTTTTTTTTTTKTAAATTTTTTTGTAAATGCTCTATTCGCAGAGTAGCTCATTTAGTGCATCGAAGACCTTAATTGAGCGGGAGCCTTCGTCACGCTAAGTGCGACAAGAAGCTAAAGCTGCACGAAATAGAACGTTATAATATGAATCGACAGCTTTTTTTTAGATTGCTAATAAAGATATAAAATATTTTTTTTGCCAAAACAAAACTAGCACTCATTTAGTATGTTAGTACATCGAAGACTTTGAGTGGGAGCCGATCATATATCCACTTCGTAAAAAAAAGACGGTTCTCGGGAAAGTGAAACACAAGAGATGACATTAATTATGCAAAAATAAATAAATAAAAAGATAAACAATAAATAAAATAAAAAGGAAAAAACAAAATCATTAAACGTCTCCTCCAGGGAATTGATCCCGCTACCGTCAAACCTACATTGGATTTGCAAGCAGCGCCTTAACGCGGTGCGGCACTGGACCACTATCATTTACATAATAATAGACCACTTGACACTTTCATCGAATAGACTACCCCAATATGACATTATACTTTCGATAGTTGCCTAGTTAGTGCAAGGGGTTATCCAACAGTGTCTAGGGGCCGGATAGCTTCTCCCTCACTGGCTTTTTAGTTAGCGCGAAGTTAGGACCAATTATCGGGATAGCATGGAAGAGCCGAAATCTCTAACCGGAATGTAAATCGATTCGCCGCCTCAGCTTCACAGAATGTCTCGGGGGAATCGTCCCAACCTTTTTTCGATTCTATGATCATGGGTTCGAATCCCAATACTCAAGTTTTTTTCTTTTTTGATATATATATTATTTTTTTTGCTTTTTGTTGTTGTCTTTGAATTAGCTTCCTATGCATTAATGTTTAATTACAAAATCTGCAGAATCATTTAGTAATTACTTCTATATATTTTCTATAATGTGATATTTTAAAGCGGCGCGCTTTCATTGGCTTGTTTTCATTAAACGTATAATAAGTTTTCACAGCGCGGCGGTCCGAGTTATGTTTGCTATTCGTACGGACATTGTATATATCTGACATTTTAAAGTAATTATATAAGATATCGATTTTAAAATACTATATTTTTGTTTAGGGTCAAATAATAATATGAATACGCTACAAACTTCCTGATTTTACCATGCACATTTAATAGCCCGGCATAGAATACATCATCGCGAAAAGCGACACTTAATGAAATTTCGTAAACTCCGATGTCAGACACGGACTGCAGCAATGTCACTACTATGTTCTCGATACCTGCTATGTTTAACACTTTTTGTTTTTTTTGTGTGTGTAATATGAATTTATGATTAATCATTTTTTTCGTGGAAATAGTCGCATTTCGGCTTATTTGAAATAGAAAAATCCATGTCCGCACGAATAAGTCACGCAGTCTATTCATACGAAAAAAGAAAAAGCAATGAAAAACGTTGTTCAAAAATTTCTAAAAGTAATCTAGTTAACCGTGATTCGAAAAAATTAGTCGTGAGTCGTGAAATCGCCAAATTTCTGATTACATCTCTCTCAGACTTCTCTCCAGTATTTTTCGTGTCCAGTCCCCACTCTTCCAATAATATAAGATGGGCTGGAACTTGTAGTCTATATCGTTAGCAGAAAAGAGGAAGTAGCTTTGTAATACATCTTTGGGGGTAAGTTTCTTTATTTTGTTCCTTTAATTCCAGTACAAATAGACGGGTTTTTGTTTTAATATCAATTTCATTGTCTGCCTGCMAGTTTTATTTGAAAGACTCCAGCAAGATACTAGYCATTATTGAACGGTTCAGGTCAGCAGCGAAAAGCATCGAACCAAATCTTGATTAAACTGAATCAYACAYTTTGATCCTTATCTTAGCTCAAGAAGCCATCTGAAATATGCTGCAAAAACGTTCACTTTAGATTACACTGGTATAATAAACCAGAACACCTATTTTTCAAAAGCTAGTGGCGCTGTAWMAGTACTCATATTCGAGTATTTTCACCATTAGGTGAAGATGGCAGCAAAGTTTCCAGAAAGTRTCGAAGATGATGTAACTTGTCCAATATGTCTGGAAATATACGAGGATCCTCGCATGCTGCCCTGTCAGCACACCTACTGCAAACACTGTCTAGAAACCATGTTGTGTGATGATGCAGATGGAGTTTTCTTTCGTTATTATGGAAAAGTAATCAAATGTCCGGAATGCAGGAAAACTGTGCAGGTAAGCAAAGTCCACATGATTATTAAATAYGACCTGCAATTTATTCCAGTAAAAGAAAAGAAGTTGATTGTAAAGCGATTTGGTGAAACGAGCAGCGGTGAAATAGTCGATGAAGCTTTGTAAGTTGAAGCGTGTCGTCTGACCTCAAACTGTCACCAAGTATTGACAACTATTATTCTGAACCAGCTAGGTCAGACCATATGCGCATGATGCTGATTATGTTTTTTATGTGTCTACTAAAGTTCAGCGTTATTTGACGCAATAACAGAATATCATGTGATCCGTTTGCGCACTCTTTAAAACAATAAAGACATTTTGCACTTGTATTATAAACCTCACTGAGTTTCCTCACAATTTTAAAAGAGCAAAAAGATTTTGATTTTCCCAATCAATTAAGTGGTGTATATTACCCCCTGAAATCTTGTTCTGTAATTTTCATTATTCATTTTCTGTTTTTTTTGGCTATATCCTGCAGGTCGAGAATGTTTCTTCACTCCAAAAGAACATTTGGGTAAACAAATACATTTCATATCTTGAAAAATCCAAAGCCGAGAAAAAARGCRCTAAAAARGTGCGACTGATTTGCAACAGCTGTGAYGGCAATGAACTGGCAAAAGCAAGATGTGTCGATTGTGAAAGATTTGTTTGTGATTACTGYAGCGCAGATCACCAAGTTATGGAAGTACTCAAAGGTCACAAACTTCTGTCCATGGAGGTAATCAAGAGAACAGGTATCCTATTAAGAGATAAGCTATCTACGTGCAGCAARCATAAAGGCAAAAAGCAAACGCTATTCTGTGGAAACTGTGATATGCTGATTTGTAAAAATTGCACCATTTATGACCACAAGGATCATGAAATGTTTCTCGTAGACATGATCGGTAGTCAGAGAAAAAGTCTTCAAGAACAAATCGAAGATGTTGAGTGTGCAAAAGACGCGGTTCTTTCTGAAATAAAAAGAGTTCAAGATATGAAAAAGAGAGTGGAAATTCGGAGAGAAACTGTTGATAAAAAGATAGATGCCACAATAGATACAAACATCCAAACTTTGGAAAAAATGCGCAAATGTCTTAAAGAAGAAGCAAGAGGAATGAAGGAGTTCAAGTTGAAGAGATTATCTGAGCAACAACATGATCTTGAGATGCAATTGAAATGTTTGAAAGACGCCATTAAGTTCGCACAAAGTATTCTCGGACAGGAAGGACATGCTGACTTTTTGTCAATGGTAGAACAAGTCTTGGTGCGTTTGCCCAAACTGTCAGAAGAAAGAGATAGTGAAGTCGTTGAAGAAGTTGGACTTGATTTACAAGTCAATGACAGCATTCCATGTTGTGATTTGGATAATTTTTTGAAAGTCGTAGATAAAGCTTCCCCTGATCCTGGAAGGTGTGAGCTCAGTCGCCATGGAAGAATCTTTCGGCTGCAAGTCAGGAATTGCGATGGCGAACCAATCGACATACCAAAAAGTAGGATTCAGATCACTTTTCCTCTTCACTACGAGTTAGATAGTGATCATTCTGCAACAGGTTTGTTTCTTATAACAAGCTCGTTCGCAAACCCAGAAGAATATCCTCGGCGGACAACATTGACGCACTTCATTTGTAATATGAAAGTTTTCATTGACGGATACCATGTAAAAGGAAGTCCATTGCAAGTTAATGGACAATTTTCAGACTCGACCGCACATGGGTGGGAAGCGGATGACGAGAGAATTCCAACACAGCGTCGTTACCACGATACGGATTCCGATGAAGAACATTATTTGAGATGGTAGCCCATCTCCCTACTTTCTGAGAGCTTGGGAAGCCGGCTGTAATTTTAGTTAAAAACATTTGTAAAGCTTATTTGATTTGTAATTTGCTTCAAAATTAAAACAACAATAATATAATAATAATAATAAGCCTGAAGTGGCGGCGCAACTAGATAAACTTCGTCTAAACATGTTTTCGCTATTATTTAGTCTATTATAAAATGTTTATGTAACAACGTTGTCAAAAGTATAACTTGTCAATAATGACTGGGTTGGCTGCCTGTGCGAAACCAGACCCTACACTCAGAGCGGCGGAACGCCAGTCTAAATCAGTAATACAAAGGTTGCTTATGTATCAAGCTGAATTCTAAAGTTATATCTTATAATTTGGTGCGTATATTACATCCTAGCTCCTATTAGAGTTGCTGCAGACGAAGATGGTTTAATCTTGCAAACTAACGACGACTATTGCATTGATGATATGCACACTTTACTAGCAGTTTTTGATAGGAATGTCATCGATCGTGGCAATTGCAAGGTGCGCTGGTCAGACAAACAACGGAATGCACTTCTACTTATAACAGTTAAGAATTTCTTTAGAGAACCAATAGACATAAAAACAAATCGAATTGAGGTAGTTTGTGCATCATATCCGGAAGTAAATGGCATTAGTCCTCGTAAAGACCTCTCTACGGAGTACGGTTGGACAATTTGTCACTCCAGTAACGGGTGAGTTCGAACAGCCGTCCAGCGAACTTGACCAAGAAGGCATTCACAAGCTCCAAGTACTAATTGATGGAAAGGAAGTAGACTGGTATCGAATAAAAAAAACGATGGTGGGAAAGGCTCTTTGAAAATCCAGGAATCAGTTGAAAAAATTGAAATCAAAATTAAAATGATCATGAACATTACACAGGCAGTTCCGGTAAATAAAAATTTGTCCTCCAGCATTTGTGAACTCACCAATAGAAAAACTGAAAAACTCTTCTGGCTTGTTCATAGCATGGTCGTCTCTCCCTCTCTCGAGCGCGCATGTGTCTGGGGATCGAAGGTCTCATTTCACGCGAGAAAAAGACTACTGCGGACGAGTCAGGCTGATAACTAGATATCATTACTGCCATGTTAATTTCCAAAATTAGGCCGGTATATTTCTTTAAAGCTATAGACAAAATAGGCTTATTGATTTGTAAAATAGCAATATCGTATTCGTTGTTTTAGATATTCAAATTGTTGATTCGAAATTACAGACTGAATAACTATTTGCATGATTAGTAAATTTTGTTGTAATCAGGTTGGTCGTTGAAAAAGTCTCCGGTGATATTTTTGGTCAGCATCAACTCCCTTGAATCTTGTGCTAGTTGTCTAGCTTGCCTGACATCCCTTTAAGATTCCCATCATGCAAAATGTAATTTAATTAAGATACGCTCGTGTTCCAAGCTTGCTTCTCTCGTGTTTTTCGAACTCCCACCGTGTTTATATCAGAGTACAGAGACACGCGCGCCGTTTTATATTTCTTTTATAAAATTTTTCGAGCGAAAAGAACATTTTGCCGGGATGTAAGCCGTGTCTCTGTCCTCTGATATAAACACGGTCGTCAGCCAATCAGAGCGCGCGTTATATATCAAAAATTTTATAATGCGTGATAAAAAATTCTTTTTCCGCAAAAAATGACATAGATAAGGTGTTTCCAATATCTGGTACGTTTCTGAATTTACTGAGGCGTAAATTCGGTTGTCTCAGCCGAAATATGACGTCTTTTGCCAAGCAGAATCATACTATCTAAATAGGTGAGTACATTTCATCGATCTCATGAAACCCCACGTGGAAATCAGCTCGAAGAATCGAAAATCAGTTCCTTTATAACGTCATCTAATAATAAATTACTACAGAAATAAATTCACAGATATCCGTATCGAAATCATAATAGTAATAATAATCACGCTTCATCAGTTCCTTCATTGTTAAAGTCGTGAAAAGATAGTTAAAGATCAGAAACATAACTTTTCATCAAATTGGCTAATCTCTGATCTTAAAGCTAGTTTGTTTTGAACTGATCAGTTGGAGTTTCAGAGAGTTTTTGATGTAGTTCCAACTGAATTCATACTCGAATTCATCTGTCATACGATACCAACAGAACATGACCGTCGAAAACAGGAAGTATTTCTAAATTTAGACATTAGTTAACATTTGTTAATATTAATATCAAAATTAATGTCTCCTTCACGGTTCCCTGCGTCATCTTGAAAGGTAGCCGTGCCTTTACATAGAAACGAGACAACCGTTGAGCGTGCAATGATAGATACCTTTAAATAAGTGTCTGCAGGTGTGAAAGAAGATTTTTATCCGTTTTTTATCCTTCAAACCATTGTAACCCTGAGGATGGGCCAATAGTCCCGAAAGCTTGGTAAATTAAACAAAAATTGGTTGATGAAACACGAGTACCATGAAGGTTTTTATCATTGCACGCTCAACAGTCGTTTCACTTCGATGTAAAGGCACGGCTACCTTTCAAGATGGCGCAGGGAACCGTGAAGGAGACTAACTATTGCCTTCTCATTTATTTTTTAAGCCAGGAGAGAAAAGAAATCAAAGAAAATGGCAACAAAATCATCTTCAAGTCTTGAAGATCCCGTCGAGTGTCCCATTTGCCTCGACCAGTACCAGGACCCTCGTATCCTTCCCTGTCAGCACACCTACTGTAGAAAGTGCCTGGAAGGGTTACTGCATGAAGCGGACAGCGGCTGGTTTTCCAT